AGCAATTTTAGTCTTTCAGAAAAATTAGTGGAAAAGTACAGAGAGCTCCCCCCACACACACAGACAGGCAGTTTCTCCTGTAGTAACATCTCACATTAGTGTGGTGTCTCTATTAGGATTGATGAGCCATTCATGAAACATTATTAACTGGAGATTGTTGTTTAAATTAGGATTCGCTCTTTGTGTTGCATATTCTGTGTGTTTGAATAAGTGTGTGATGATATCGCTGCACCACTGGGGTCTCCTACAGAACAGCTACTGCACTAAACCCCCCGTGCCCCACCCATCCGTTCCTCCCTGCCGTGCCCTGGCCTTTGCAGCCACCAGTCTCTTACTGTCTGTGTAGTTTGCCTTCTCCAGATGTCACATGGTTGGAACGGTGCAGTACGCGGTCTTTTCAGCGGCCCTTTCACTTAGTAATGTGCACTTGAAATTTCCCATGTCTGATATATTATTTCTTTGTACTGATCAGTAATACTCCATTGTCAAGATCAGCCAGTGTGTTTATCTGTCACCTACTGAAGGACATCTTGGCTGCCTCTAAGTTTTGACAGTTATGAATAAAGTTGCTATAAACTTCTGTGTGCCACTTTTTGTGTGGGAATGCATTTTCAGCTCCTCTGGGGAAATACCAAGGAGTGCAGTTGCTGGATCATATGGTGATCCTGTGTGTAGTTTGTGAGGAACAGCCAGACTGCATTTGGAAGTGTCTGTACCATTTCGCATTCCGCCAGCAGTGAGTGAAAGTCTTGTTGCTCCACGTCCTGCCAGTATTTCAATGTCTTCTGTTTAATTTTATTCACAGATCAGGAATATTCCAGAGTCTCAGGTTCAGAAATCCAAAGTGAGAGAGAGCCTCATGAGCCATGCACTCAGGAAAAGTCCCCTGAGCACACCGCTGGGAAGCTCTCTAGTTAAGTTCAAAATTTGTCTTAAGTCTTACTTTCTAAACTTCGGCTGGTGATCTGCTAGTGCCTTCCTGAGTCACACCTAAAGGACTGCCCATCCTTAACAACAACCTAAGCATGCATGATGCAGTTGCAAAGTGAGGAAGCGGTTGTCTAGGGTTGAGACATAATAGCTGGGCCTCTTGCAGCCATTCTGCACTGTGAGGTGACCTTGAGAAGGAGGAGCACATGCCAAGACTGGCAGAACAGAAGGTGGGCACCCAGGATCCTACAGATCAGTCAGATCTTTGTACCAGCGTGGCCCACCCACCTCTGGACTTCTTTTTTATCAAAGAGAATTAAAATCTATCTTACTTAAGCCCAGGTAGGGTTTTTGTTTTGTTTTGTTTTGTTTTTGGTCTTTTTGTTATTTACAGCTGGACCTGAATCTACCTGAGACCAGTGGTTCAGTGGTTTGGCACAACGCAAGTCTGCCCTGCACACGAGTGCCTGGGATGCCTGACTGTGTCGGGTGACACCAGGTAGTAGTGTGAATTACAGAGGGCAGAGAAGAGGAGAGGTGGCCTGGGGACGGCATCGCTTACCCTGAACACACCCTCACTCCCATGGATAAACAGACCGGGCTGACAGGGGCACTGTGCGACATGTGGCTGGGAGTGTGTGCAGGATGTATGGGCACCCCTGGGGGGCGGGTGCAGGCCGGGTTGCACAGGCAGGCAGAGGGACTGCAGGGCACCAAAGGGAGGGCCTTGTCTCAGGAGGAATGGGGGTCAAAGGGAAAATGAAGAGGCCCACGGGCAGGTTGCACAGCGGGCAAGAAACAAAAAGAAGCTTCCAAAAAAGGTGTGTAGAGCAGGTCTGCAGAAGGAGCCAGTGGGGGTAAGAGGCCAGGAACAGGCGGTAGGTCAGGGCTTATCCAAGTCCCACTAGATGCCAGCTCTGCTGAGAGAGGCCCTGTCACTGTAGCTGTGCCAGTGAAAGGTGCACACTTGTAACATATGGACTGGATAGGATTTTGCCTTTTCCGCCACATAACGGATCCCTTTGGTAAGGTCACCTCTCCCCACACGGCCAGCAGTCTACAAGGCAGCCGGTCCCCCACCCTTTGCCTTGCACCCTCCCTAGCACCCTGGGCTCCTTGCTGGGCCTGAACGGAGGAACTGTGTTCTGACCTCAGGTCCCTGCAGGCTCTTCCTTCTGTCTGTGGCACTGCTCTCTGTCGCCCTGGCCACCTTTCTCCCGTGCCATTTTAGCACCCAGCATCATTTGTATATTTACTTGTCACATGCACTGTCTGACTCCCCACCAGTTCATCAGCTCCACGAGACCAGGGTCTCGCTCTCTCTCTTGCATCGCTAGGCCCCTAGCACCTAGAATAACAACCGGTGTTCACTTAGCATTTGTTGAGTGAATAAGAACTTTAAATGACTAAGGCCAGTGACACTGAAACAAGTTTAAATTTAAATAGGAAAGTGCTGAGGGAAGTTCAGTAGTTCGAGTTGGGAGGATGAGACAATGGGTATCTAAACCTTCTCTCAAGGCGGAAGCCCCACACTCTGGTGAGGACGGGCTCTGTCTGGTGGATTGGTAGCTCCACTGCCCTCCCCACTCCTCACGGAGGCAGCAGAGCCCCGCCCCAGGAGTTTCTTGGGATGCGTGTGTTTTTCCCATTTAGTCCGTAACAGTGCCAGGAGAAAGTGGTATTATGTGAACTAACAGCTTCTCCTGAGGCACAGATGGAAAAGTCACTCTTATTTGAGGCCTGATTCTTTTCTTCTCCTGCCTGCCTTCGGAGCACTGGTTCCGTCCCAGGAGAGCCACCAAAGGGATGCTTCCAGACCCTCAGCCTCTAACCAGACCCCAGCTGTGTGGGCTGTCAGTGTGGGCAGCAGAGGCAGCACAGGCCAGCCAGTCCCCTGGGGACTCACCTCAGATGACTGCTGTGGGCGTGAAGCATCTGAGGGAGACGGAGCTGGCAGCTCCGTGCCTGAGTGAACGTCTGTGTCAGCTCTCCAGAAAACCCTCACTCGGGAGACACAGCGCTCAGGAAAAGCTGAGCGTGTGGCCTGCTTATGGGCGCAGCATTAATTATGGGCTCTTGGTGCCTGTCGTCACTTAGCCAACTTCTGGGGCTGTGAGGAGGACTAATTTATCCCAAGGCACCCCAGGCCCCTTTCTCTGAAACTACTTCTGACACGTCAGCCTGGGTTAAGCTGCACTGTGGAGTAGCTACTGGGCCAGAGTAGGAACAGAGGCCAATGCAGGCTCCAGGCTTGAAACTGATGGGGCCAGTGCTGTCGGGGGTTTAGAGCAGCGAAAGCACCTGTGTGGGCCCTGCACAGCCACCTCTGGGGTCTGACACCATTGGCAGGGTGCTCCGGCCCAGCTGGGCCTCCCAGAGCCTCGCCCTAGCTTGATTCTCTTCCCATACTTATCTTCCCCTCCCTGAAAAGTTCATGGGCCGCCCACACATGCGTGCTCATACGTGCACCGTCCCCAAGGGCCCTGGTAAACAGCTCTCTCTCCCGTGGAGTTGCATTGTGTTTTGCAGACTTCATTCTTCCAGCTCATTTGTGAAACATACGAGGGGTATCATTACTGTTCTCTTGTTAAGTTGCCCGAGAGGAAAAAAAAACAAACAAGGAAAGTTTTTCCTCCTCCAAGAATCTAATTACTTGTTGGGTGAGCCCTGACCCATATACATTTCCAAAGAGTGAGACACTTGATGCCACTGAAGCAATGTCCTTGGATGGGACTCAGAGACCCTCTGCCTGCCACTCCACCGGCTGCTGGCTCTGTAGCCAGCCTGGACCAGGGCCAAAACTTTACAATGAGTTTCAGCTACCTGATTACTTGCCTTGCTTGGTCTCTGGACATGCCTCTCTCTCCTCGTCAATTCCGTCCCTGTGCAAGGCGAGCACTTTCTTTCCTGCTACCGGTGCCACGTTCTTGCCTTCCTCTCTCACCTCTGAGCAGGCTCTGTACTTTTCACCTGCTTGGGTTTTTGCATGAACACATTCTCATATTCTGCCGGGCTCCTCTCCCTCCTGGACTGTGGGATCCCTGAGGTCAAGGTCTCTACTGGGTCACCTTTATATTCTTAGCACCTGGCATGATCCCCGCCCATGTGGGGTGCCGGGATGTGGGCCTTAGGCGGGAGCCTTCGCCATTCGATGACCAGGCCTTGAGCACACCCTGCTCAGGCACCAGCCCAGCTCCCAGGCTCTTGATCCAACACCTCATTCCTTGTCAAATTCTGCATTTGTGTTCTGACACTGCCAGCATGTTTTGTGACTTGTTTTCCATTTCCCTCTTAGCCGTGAGTTACTCTGTCAGGTTTGTTTAGGGTTCCCTCCCTTCCTTCCCTCCTTCTGTCCTTCCACTTCCTCCACCGCGTCTCTGATTGGGCATGGAGGTGTCGTACGCAGAGAGGACATCGCAGCAGTTCACCTTTAGGAAATATGCCCCGTCATACAGTTTTTATTTTTCTGTTTTCCTTTTCTGAAAAATGTCCTTAAGTGATCTGACAAGGGTCCTGAGTGTTTAAGGTTTTCCCCTTTATCGATGTGGTCAGATTCTTACTCGTGTTTTGCAAACTGTCAAGAGAAGATGGTGCTCACAGTCTGAGCTTGCTGAGAAGACACCGGTAGGAGTGGTGGACCCAGGAGACCTGGACGTCACAGCAACGACAGTGGTCCTCTGCGATGGGGAGCCTGGAGCATCGAGACACGTGTCTTCTGAGTCTTGATGTTTTTAGGCCTCCGGCCCAGGGCTCACCATCCGGCTCAGCACTGTGCAGCTCGGTGCCCTGATGGCTGCCTGACAGAGGTGGTCAGGGCGCTGTCACCCTGGGGCCCTTGCACATCAAGGCGGCTACAGGTTGAAGGTCACGGAATTGAAGTCCAGGTTCCCAGAGCTCCAATGAGTGCGTGAAAACCACTGAGTGCTTTCTTTCTCCAGAGGAAACCTGCGCCAGACAATGCAGAAACAGGTCCCCTCAGCCGGGGCTGTCTCTCCCAGCCCCTCCCACGGGAGCGGTGCACCCCGTCTTCCTCTGCCCGCTCTAACCCGTGCCTTCCTTTGGCCTGACAGATGGAGACGTGCGCATGTGGTGCCCCTCGCTGCGAGAGATCATAGAGGTATTTCACAGTCTGGGTGCCCACAGCCCTGCTTCGTGCCCCCTGGGGCTGTCTCAGCACAGTGAGAGGTGAGTACCTCCCCTTCCTCACTCTCTCTCATTTGTTCACTGGGCACTGGCCTCTGTTCAGGCCCACAGAGTGTGTATGTTGAATAGGGGCAGGTTTTCCGTGCCATTACACCTCAGTACAAACGTTAAGAAACAAAACAAAGTACCACCCCCCCCAAAGAAAGATTCTTCTAAAAATATATTCATGCTGGGAAATAGTAATTTAAAGTATCTCCTATTCTATAGATGTAATACAACTGGCCATTCATTGCACAAAGCTATCTATCTAATTATTTCTGAAATGATCTGTAGCTCAGTGAGCTATTATAGGTTAGAAAAAGAAAGATATCCTCTGATTTTTAGATAAAATTATGTACATTTTTCTTTTTTTCTCGGGTTAACAAAATGTCTATTGTGTTTTTTCCATTACTATGTGTCCCCCTTATGCCACCCTTCCCTCCCCACCCCAAAGTCACCACACCTTGTCCATGTCCGTGAGTCCTGTTTCCTTTTTGCTCAATCCCTCCACCCACTAATTCCCCACAGAGCTACCAGCCTGCTCTCTCTGAGTCTGTTTTGCTTGTTAGTTCAGTTTGTTCATATGAGGGAGATCATATGGTATTTGTCTTTCCCTGACTGGCTTATTTCACTTAGCATGATGTTCTCTAGCTCTATCCATGCTGTTGCAAAGGGTAGATTGTCCCATAGTTATTTTATCCACTCATCTACTGATGGACACTTGGGCTGCTTCCAGACCATGGTGATTTTAAATAGTGCTGCAGTGAACACAGGGATGTTTATGTTCAGGTGTCTTCGGATAAATTCCTAGAAGTGGAATCCCTGGGTCATAAGGCAGATCCATTAAAAGCTCAAATAAACAATCTAACTTTACACTTAAAGGGATTTGAAAAAGAACAACAAACAAAGCCTAAAATGAATAGATTGAAGGAAATAATAAAGATCAGAACAGAAATAAATGAAATAGAGTCTTTAAAAAAATGATACAAATGATCACTGAATCTAAGAGCTGGTTCTTTGAAAAGAAACATGATTGACAAATCTTTAACTAGACTCAACCAGAAAAAAAATGGGCTCAAGTAAATAAAATCAGAAATGAAAGAGGAGAAATAACAACTGACACTAAAGAAATACAAAGGATTGTAAGGAAATATTATGCACAATTATATGCCAACAAACTGGACAACCTGAACAAAATGGATAAATCCCTGGAAACCTACAATCTTCTAAAACTACATCAGAAAGAATCATAGAATCTGAATAGACAGAATACACCTAGTGAAATGGGAGTAATACAATAAAAAAAACTTCCAACAAAGAAATGCCCTGAACCAGATGGCTTCACAGGTGAATTTTATCAAACATTCTGGAAAGAACTAACACCTCTCCTTCTCAAACTATTTCATAAAATTCAAGAGGAGGGAAGGCTCCCAAGCTGACTTTATAAGACCAGCATTACCCTAATTCCAAAACCAGATAAAGACACTACAAAAAAGAAAAATATAGGCCAGCATCACTGGTGAGCATAGATGGTAAACTCCTCAACAAAATATTAGCAAACCCAATACAGCCATAGATCAAAAAGATCATACACCATGATCAAGTAGCATTTATTCCAGGGATGCAAGGTTGGTACAACATTCACAAATCAGTAATGAAATATACCACATAAACAAAAAGAGGGATAAAAACCACATGATTGCCCTGGCTGATGTGGTTCAATGGATTGAGTGCCGGCCTGTGAACCAAAGGGTCGCGGGTTTGATTCCTAGTCAGGGCGCATGCCTGGGTTGCAGGCCAGGTCCTCCGTGTGGGGTCCACCAGAGGAAACCACACATTGATGTTTCTTTCCCTCTCTTCCCTCGTCCCTTCTCCTCTCTGAAAATAAATAAAATATTTTTTTAAATTCCACGTGATCATATCCATAGATGCAGGAAAAACATTTGATAAAATCCAGCATCCCATGTATAATTTTAAAAAAAAAACCTCTCAGCAAAGTGAAAATAGAGAGAACATACCTAAGTACTTTTCTGAAGTAAGAAAAAGTTACTAAACTTGCTGTAGCCCATGTGGTGAAGCCCAGAGTTTGAGTTAGTTACAGAACAACTCCACATGAGTGCCTGAGAATCTTTAGTGTGTGAACTACCCGGCTCCCAGACCTAGGGGCACAGAAAAACCAGGTATGATGCGTCCTACTGCTTTGGGTGACATCTCTTTCTGCCCCCTCCTGACTCAGAGCCCTTGCTGCCCTGCCTCTTCGAAGATGAGTCCCAATCTTTTCAGTCCATCTCCAGGCCTCTTATCTGGCTCACACCTAATACCCTGTGGCCACAGTTGTACATGTGATTTCCACAATGCTTGATATTACTTTGTGGGCGTGCCCTTTGTGCCCTGGGCTGGGTGGGTGCGGTGATGCTAGTTTGCATAAGCATGGATCCTGCCTTCCAGGAACAAAGCCATACAATAACACGCCAATAACAACTCTTGGGTGGGTGGTGACTAGGTCTGAGCTGTAAACGCCTTGCACATAGTTAGCTTGTTCCACAAGTTACAGCGCATCTAAACTCTTTCTTAAGAGTCCTTTCAGAAGTTGGTTTGAGATACAATGGAGCATTTAGAACCCTGAGCGGGTTGTTATATGGGAGCCCCTCAGCCCTTGCCAATCCTGCGGACGGTCCCTCATCCCAGAAGGTGCCCAGCCCCCTTCCTTTGCTGTAGTAGGCAGATGTTCACCTGCAGGGAAGGTCCAAGCTTTCTAAAGAACCTGCTTCACGACTGCATTTAGTAATTGTCTGCCAAACCAAACCACACTGGCTGTGCTATAAATACGAACGTGCTCCAGCCCTCCCCACCCCTGGATCTCCAAATCTGGTGCAATAAGCCACTTTCTCCTTCCCGAACACGGAGCTGCAGTCACACCACCATCTAGAATGAGTCAGGAGAGAATTATACTCAGAAAACAAATTCATGTCGGAAGTGGGGTGGGGTGCTGTGGGGTTCAGAAGAGACACTTCTAACTGTTCTGATGAGCACTTGGTGTCCACTTGGCAAGTGGGAGGTGGCTCTGGAGACTTACAACCACTCAGTTCACAAAGCACTCTGCTAAGAGCCACTTCTGTCTCTCCTCCCTTCTCTGTGGCTTCCTGCCACTTTTGCTTCAGGACAAATCCACCTGGTTTGGAGGCCGAGGGAGGTGTGCAGGTCGGCACTGCAATTGGGGTCATTTAAACGTGCCGTCTCAAATACCTGGCAACACAAAGCCCAGCATGTAGACTTCCAGCTTTACCAGGGGTAGTTAGCCCTGCGCAGAAGGCAAGCAGATCCACGTTGGCCTCAGGCCAGGCCCAGAGCGCCACCAGAGCTACTTGGTGACAGCTTTTCCCCTTTCCTTGGGCCCCACACCTGGGGCTTGCTGGTGACACCATTTCCCAAGAGGATTTAGAACTGGCACCAAGGAGCCGGCGATGGCTACAGGGGTGATTCCCCTGTCACAACACCCTAAGAGCAGGGTGGGACCACTCGCCAAACCACTAGTCCTGGGGAGGTTTTCCTGCCTGGACACAGCTCTTTTAAAGAAGCAACCAGGTCCTGGATACCCTCCTGTGACCTGGGGTGGAGGTGTCGAAGATGCTCAAGTGTGTTTCCTGGTTGGCTGGCTGCTGTAGTGGGGAGTCTCTGAGAGTCAAGGGGTGGGAGGATGGTGCCTCTAGCGTGTTTAGGAACCAGCCTCCAGTCTCTGCTCCACGGAGGATGTGACAACTCTCCTGGACCCTCTGGCCACAAGAACAAGTGCATGGCAGGCTGCCTGCTCCCCACCACCCTCCTCATCTTGTTCCTGACCAGGCTCACAGAAAGCTGTCCCATGCCAGCTGGGTCCATGTCAGGCACATCTCCTCTCTGTCAACTTCCAGGGATGTCCCATCTAGAGGTCCCATGGTGGATCTCCTGCAGGGCCCCCACAGAACTTCGCAATGGCCGAGGCTGGAAACAAGGGCCGAGTGGTCTCCGTACCTGGGCCCATGACTTGGCTGACATTCCAGATGCTATGAGAACTTCAGTTTCCCACCATCTGTTCTTAATCTCAGATTTCCTTAAAGCCCATCACCATCTTATGAGAGCTCCAAGACTTCCTTCCAGAAAGACACAGCTCTTCTGCAGTGGACACTTGCGGACAGTCTGATGTCTGCCTGTTGCAAAAGGAGTAGCCTTCTGCCAGGGATGAGGCTGGGATGGTGAGGTCGGGAGGCTGTCGGGGGCGGGGGTAACACATGAGGAGGGACCGGAATATGGACACTGAATGAGAGCTCCAGCGTCCTCAGAGGAGGTTGTACCTCATGGCTGCACAGTCTTACCTGGGAAGAGAGGGGAGGGCCTCAGACAGCTGTGGCTCATCTTCCAAGGCCACTTCTGATTACAAAGCCCAGCTGAAGAGCTCTGGTCAGGTACACAGCACTGGCCTCAAAAGACCAGGAAGTGTGCTGCGGTTGCCCAGTGATGAAAGCCTTCTTCAACTTGGTCTTCTGAAAGGTTAAATTGATGCAGTGCCCAAACAGGTAAATAAATGACAATCCATTGAAAGGTCATGCTGTTGGTAATTGGCTCCCTTGGGACAGTATAATCCTATCCAGGTAAAGTTTGCCTTCCCTTCCCTTTCCATTAGCTTAGCATTGATTCCTTCCTCAGCTACCATAAGCACAGCTGAGCGGGCCGGCCTAGCTGGGCGTTGCAGAGCTCAGGGAGAGAGCGCCCTGCTCTGCTGGCAGCCTGCATGTGGGGCTCTGACGGTGGGGCCTTCAGAGCAGCGCTTGGTCACTCGCTCGTTGGGTCATGGTGGCGGCAGTGCCCACACACTTCCTCACTCTCTTCCTGCTGAGAAGGTCAGAGCTCCACATAGATAGTAACTAGTATTTTCTTCAGCCCTTGGGAAAAAACACATATGGAAACTGAGTGACGCACTCTCTTAAGTCAGTGAGTGTAAAATGGAGTTGTTGTGACCCAAACTCCAGCTCCTGGATGCTGCTCACAGGGCCGTGAGCCCTGACCTAGCCAGCCGAGGACAGGGACCGAGGGGCATCACAGATGAAGCTGTTTTGCTCATGGAGTCACATCAACTCGCTGTTAACCTGCTGAGTGCAGGAAGGGAATGGGGTTGTTAGGTTGCAAATTCCTGTGCTCCACGGCCTCCTGATGTGAGCAGTGGTGGAGGCCTGGGGGTCAGCTGATGCTGCACCCCAGAACCGCAGTCACAACTACATGATTCAGTCAAGTGGGTCCTCAAGAAGAGGGGGGGATGGAGGAATACGCTCTTGTCTGCTGCTCCCCAGGAGAGGTGGCACAAGGGAATAAATGCTGGCTGGCTGGCACTCACTCCAGGAGGCGGTCCCCTCTCAAAGGGGAGGGAGTGCTGGCATTCCCTCCCAGAGAAGAGAGGGCTCTGTCTCAGCCACACTTCCCCTCCCCAGCTGGAAAAAGACATCACCAGCTCCCATGTGCTCCAGCCCAACTCCCTCGGGCAGCAGCCAACTGTCTGAAAGCCCACTGCTCCCAGCAGAGGCATGAAGCCCACTCTGCAATGCCTCACCCTTTGGGAAATCCAGAAGCATCCACCCCATGCTTGCCTATCCCGTGCACGCTCACAGGCTGCTACAGCTGCCACTTCCATCGTACTGACACAGCCTGTGCATGCCCAGATGCAAATGCCAGCCTTGCCCACTTCCCTGGCCTAATAAATGCTAAGATCTGGAAGAACAGCAGAACCCAGTCCTAGCCCACCGCCCCCAACTTTGGTTTGTTGGCATCAACTTCCCGAGGGCCCAGACAGGGATCTCTCTTTCCTTCCCTCGAAGAAGCAGCACAGTGCCGAGTCAAGAAGAGCAGAGGCCTTTCCCTGGAGTGTGCGGCAGTGGCAGCGGCTGTTGTCAGCAGGGTTGTCTCATCAGCATCTTCATTTACTGACAGCCCACTGCTAGCTGGACCTCAGGGTAGTTAACAAGAGCAGAAAGTGGGTGAGACACAAAGGGAGCCTTGTCAAAACTCACGTCACTTACTTGCAATCAGCAATATACTCTTGGTCACAGAGAGAATCATCTATCCAGGGGCATGTGCCTGGGAAACTTGTGCAAAGGACAGTGTGACCCTGCTTGCTGAAGCATCATGCCACCCTGAGTGTGACTCTAGTCTTTAAAGATGTTCTTTTTGCTTTTGGGGGGGTTTTGTTTGTTTGTCTTTTAAATATGGCCCTGGCCTCTAACTTCATCTAGGTTCAACCAGATCTGCTCCGTCGCTCGGGGAGCAGTGTCCCCACTGGACTTACCAGTACATGATGTGTTAGTGCGACACCTTTGGAGGGCTTTCAGGGATCATTTTTGCTCTGATTTCCACCTAACTTACTGATTTTGGAATCTATAGCATCATGTACTTTTCAGAGCAAGCAGTCACTACACCTGGATGGATGAACTCTTTTGAGGAAGACTCTTTGGGGGCAATGGAGTACGATTTTCTGGTTTCCGAGTCCCAGAAAACTACAGCAGGAGGACTGACCAAAATGGTAGCTGTCAAGCTGGCCTGTATGGCCAAGAGTGATCAGCAGACGTGGCGGGGTGTCACTTCCAGGGTTAGGTGTGAAAGGCTGCGGCTTCTGTCCCAGGCATTCTCACGTGCTCTAGGGGATGCAGGCAGCCATGTCGAGGAGCCTATGGAGAGGTAAGGAGCCGAGGCCCCCGACTCTGTGCGTGAGCTTGGGAGCAACTGCCCCTGCCAAGCCTGAGACCACAGCAGCCCTGTTCTCCAATATCTTGGGGACAATTTCCTGAGAGACCCTGAGCTGGAACCACTGGGCTGAGTTGTTCCTGGATTCCCACCGCTCAGAAACTATGTGCGATATTAAGTGTTTTTAAGCCTGTACATTTGGCAGTGATTTGTTATGCAGTAGTGCAGACCAGCACACACAAGGTCCAGGCCGAGTGGATCGTCCCTGGGCCCCAAGTTCCTGAGCAAGTGCGGCCCCCTCTCTGCCTCGATTCTCCCCTGATGTCCATTCCCCCTGTTTCCTTCCCTTTGTTTCCGTCTTGCCTTAGAGTACTTAGAAGGGAGGCTAGCCTGAGCCAGGGCGAGCAGCAGGACACCCCCCAGGAGACCGCCTTGGATATCAGCCTGAGCTATATCTACAAGGTGAGTCAGACGGCTGTCTCCACTCCCAATCCGGACCTATTCAACAGGTTAGTTCAGAGAGTCCCATCAAGCACCGCTGCAGGCACCAGACAGGCGGCCAACACTGATGCTGTGGCACGCTCACACTCCCACCACCTGCCGCCTGAGGAACGCTCGGGGCCTGGCCTCTGGCCTCGCTGCTTGTCAATCTCAGCTCCCACCCGGCGTGGCCAAGGGGCTCACAATGCCACCCCTTCTGCCTGCCCTGGCTCCCAGGAAGGCCACACTGCCCTAGTGCTCTCTCTGCTCTCCAGTTCCTGACACTGTGTGCCCTAGTGCAGCCAGGGGCCACCACTGATGAGAACCTCTTGGACCTGATTGAGCTGCTCTGCAGAGCTGGCCTGGATGCACGGCTGCGCCTGCTGCCCCAGACAGACCTCCAGCAGCTCCTGCTCCTGCTCCTCGAGAACATCCAGGAATGGCCAGGGAAGGTACGCTGAGCCCCTGGGCCCAGCCCCAGCCCAGCCTCCTCTGTACGGTCCCAAGTTATCCTTAGCATGCCCTAGATGGGAACAGCACTGCTCCGAGACCATGAAGCCACCGAAATGCTAAGGATCATCCCTCTTATCCTGGCCTCCATGAACAGCACCCCTCCCCTCCGGAATGGGGCTGGCGGAGAGCTCAGGGTGGAAGGTGATCCCTCCCCTGCCCACCCTGGCGCTGGTGTCCCCGCAGCTCCGGCAGCTGTGCTGTGCCCTGAGCTTGGTGTCGGATCACCACCACAACCTGCTGGCGCTTGTGCAGTTCTTCCTGGATGTGACCTCTCGCAGCAGGTGGGTGCTCCTGTACCTCTACCTCTTCCCTCTGACACTCATCCCACCCTGTGACAGCTGGGGTGTGGGGTTCCAGAACCATCCCCATCAGTCCCAACAGACCTTCCACTCTCAACAATCTCTAAAGCCCAGGAGAAAGAACTAAAAATACAACTCGCTAATGAGTTCATTACAAATGAAAAAGCCTAATTTTCCTTCCATGGTTTTATTAGCAAAACAATTGTCTTGCACAATTAGCTTGTGACTGCAGGGGTCCCTCCCTTGTTTTTGCTGCTCCTTCCCCAGTCTTTGGTGGGGGTTCCTTCTTGTCACTCAGACCTCAGCTGCATTACTCGCCCTGATCATCCCACTTGCTCCCACCCACCTTCCACACTCTTAGTTTATCAGTTTGTCTTATTTTCTACACAGTGCTGATCTCTGCCCAAAATGATCTTACTGTTTGTTTCCCAGTTTATGGCTGCCTCTCCTTCATATTACTTACTTCCAGGAGAGCAGGTCCCTTATCTGGGTCACTGTCATATCACCCCCATCTAGAACAGTGCCTGGCACACTGTTGACCAAGGCGAACAAACTCAGCCCATGGGGAGATAAGACGCATCAGCTAGACCTGGCCTCTCCTCTCCTCCTTGCCTCTTCCCCTTTAGGCCACAGGTTCAGGGGATTTATTGCCCTTTCCTGAGCAGACAGACCACTCGCCAGCTCCTCTCCTCTCCACTCCTGGCTCTCCATGTGCAGCTCCTCCCACCTAAAATGATGCCCCTTCTCACCCTTCCAATCAGGCGTGCCCTGGAGCCCACCTCAGGAACCCCCAGCCTTCACAGGCACCTGCACTGGGGCCGGCTCCCTGCAGCTCCTTTCTCAGGGTGGCCGCTGGGAGCGGCTTGGAGTTTTATTCAGCCTCATGTCCCTGGGGCCCAGCCAGGTTTGATCACCCTGAGACCAAGTCCAGTCCTGAGATGGGCTCTCAGTCTCTTTCTTATGAATTTGGGTGAAGGAGAGGAGGCCTCTCTCCAGTCCTGAAGGGGAAGTGTTTGCTCTTATTTGGAAGGGCTGGGCTACACACCTATACATGTGTATGTGCATGTGTGCACACACACAATGAACTGCATCCTTTTCTTTTTAAACAAAAATTTTGTATTTATTTATTTTTAGAGAAGTAAAGGGATGGAGAAAGAAAAGGAGAGAAACGTCAAAGTCTGGTTGCCTGTTGCACACCCCCAACTGGGGACCTGACCTGCAACTCAGGCATGTGCCCTGACTGGGAATCAAACCTGTGACCCTTTTGTTCACAGGCTGGCGCTCAGTCCACTGAGCCACACCTGCCGGGGCTGCATTCTTTCCCATAGCTGCACAGTGTTCCCCGTGTATACACATTCGAACCCCTCACTCTGGGTATTTGTCCAGTGAGTATCCGTGTGTACCAGCTTTACACATTCATGCAGCTATCTCCACAGGATAAATTTCTTGAGATGAAATTGCAGTCCTAAAGTATGCATGTTTAAATTTGGCCTCCAAAAAGAGCAGTGCCAATTATTAATACCACCAAATAGACGTGAAAACACCTGTTTCTCCACATTGTTATTAGTACTGTGAGTCCTCAGTTTTGTTTTTAAGTGGTAGTGAATCTCTTCAGTGAAAAACACCATTCTTTGGTTCTAATTTTTATTTCCCTGATTGCAGTGAAATTGAGAATCTTCTCATATGTTTATTGGCCTTTTGTTTCTTTTATTGTAAATTATCTTTGCTATTTCTTGCTCATTTTTCTATCTTGTCATTTATCTTATTATATTGATTTATATATTGCTTATTATATATGTTTTACACACACCGTATTTTCTCCTAAGGCTGTAAATTGTCCTTTTTAAACCTTTTTGTATAATTATCTTTCAGTGAACTGAAATTTTTTTACATTTTTAAAAAATATTTTATTTATTTATTTTTAGAGAAGGGAAGGGAGAAAGAAAGGGACAGAAACATCGACATGAAAGAGAAACATCTATTGGTTGCCTCTCTCTCACACACATCCCAACCAGGTACCAGGCCAGGCATGTGCCCTGACTGGGAATCGAACCAGTGACCTTTTGCTTGGCAGGACAATTCTTGACCAACTGAGCCACATAGATCAGGGCTTTCTTTCTTCTCTTTACTTTCTTTCTTTTTTACTTTTTAAAGAAACTTTTATTTTAGTGTAGATTTAGATTTATAGAAAAGTTTGTTGGATAGCACAGACAGCTAGCTGATTATGATAGAATCTTTCTGTCTTGAATAGGAAGGCTTTCTGACCCATAAAACCTAAGACCCGTAAAAATACTGAGTTTTATATCTCTCAGTACTGACACCATTCTGTCTCTGTTGGCTCTTAGTCCCATCGGACTCTGTGTTTTATAACTATGAGACAGGGATCTAATTTGCATTTGCCCGCCCCCAAAGAGCCAGTGCACCAACACCAGTTTTTTGGTCTCACCCTCATCACATCCTAAATGTACGACATCATTCATCTGTTAGCAGCATGAAGCTTTGATTCCAGGAATCAGTGGCTGTTACAGGGTCTCTGTGTAGCTCTGTGCCCTTGGTTAGTGCCCTGTAAATTCCAAGAGGGAATAAAGTGAGCAGCCTTACCTTGCTTTCAGGCAGACACGTCAACCAGGTGACACTTTCTGCCAAGAGCTTCTCCAGGAAGGAGGTTCACCATCTGGATGGATGTTATTTATTCATTCACTTAGATACTTTATTGTGTTTCTTCCTCTCAATACATAAAACATGTAAATAGAACAGAGTTCAAAAGGCACCAACGAGCATGCGTTGAAAATATGCCCATGTACCTTCTGCCCTTGTTGTCACACCAACGTATGTTTCCGCAGTCATTCCAGATTGGATCAGCATCAGCTCATCCTTTTTTCAAGCACACCGTACTCACCATGGCTTTTAGCTGTCCTCCCAACCCTGCCCCCTATGGTGGCGATTTTGGAGAGCTTGCTGGTAGCTTTGTTCTGCCCTCGCTGGAGGCCATGCCACTGGACCCAGTTTCCAGACCGGCCCCCGGAAGGAGCGTGTGTTGTGGCAGTGTAACAATGAGCTGTCACATTCTTAGCCTACCAACTGGCTAAGCACAGAACAAGAAGTCCCACCAATGTTGACATGGCACAGGCCTCTCCCCACCTACCTTGTTGACCAAGACTTCAAGGGATGTGCCATAGTTTGAAGGCAAAGTTAAGTTTAACCCTGGAAAATGAAAGTAAATTCATTGAAAATCACCTGAAGGGGAGGTCCTTGGAGGAAAGTCTGTCTGGGCACCCTGGCCCCTCCAGGGTAATTCAGCTGCCCAGCTTCTGTCCAGGCCCAGCACAAGTTCCTAGCAGACCTCTGCACCCACTCCCAGGAGTCCTGTTGGGAAGAAGACAAGATGAGGGCTGATTCTGCTCCCCTAAAAGCTGATGGACTTTCCCAGGCTCCCTACATCACCACCTTGAATGTTTCCACATGCTGCTTCTGGGGGTCCTCGGAGTAGAGGGCAGCGCCACCATTTGCCCGGCTAGACAGAGGAGCAGACCAGGGCTGCCTAAAGCATCACAAAACTGGCCCTGACAATGACGGAGCTCTTGCCCAGTGTTAGCACGATGTAGAAACAGGCCCACTCCTCCCTTGTTCGTGGCGCACACTCCCTGCCATTGCCCTGGAGGGCAACTCGGCTGAATCAAGCAAGTGACTTTAATATGTGCAAACCCTTTGACAAGCAGTTTGACCTGGGGGACTAGCAATGCTATACTAACAATGGTGCATAGTGGTGTTCGTAAGAGTGAAAAACTGGAAACAACTTCAGTGCCCCACCATAAATTAAATTGTGCTCATACTCCAGAATATTTTAGAGCGCTTAAAAATGACATCATGCCTGGCTGGTGTAGCTCAGTGGATTGAGCGTGGGCCTGTGAACCAAAAGATCATGGTTCGATTCCCAGCCAGGGCACATGCCTGGGTTGCAGGCCAGTTCCCGGCAGGGGACTCACGAGAGGCAACCATACATTGATATTTCTCTCCTTCTCTCCTTCCCTTCACCTCTAAAGATAAATAAATAAAATCTTTTAAAAAATGGCATCATGGAAGAAAGGGAAAGTTAACAAAATAGTGCTGAATGAGAAAAGGCTGTGGGTCCGTGTGTAAAGTGTAATCCTGGTTTCTTTGGAGTGGGGAGTAGTCTTTGGGGGTTGAGGTTTAATATTAGTGACTTCTGTTGTCTTCGGGCTCGTCTCTCTTTTCCAAATGCCCTGTTGGCCTCCCTGCCTCTGTCCTTATAGCCACGGCCTATTGTCACCACTCAGCCAGAGTCACTTCTATTTAATGACTTTTTCAAGTTTTGCTGCAGAATATTTTGAACACATGCAGAAGCTGAAAGAATAGTGTGACGGGCCCCACGCACACGTGTTCCACGATGTTCCAACACACATTCACTGTGGTCACGGTGACCCCTTCACCCTTACCTGCTCACCCCACCTCTCCTGCCCCAGATCAGGGGGTCTGTACCCCAGACACGCCTTCCTCCCACATCACTGTGGTCTCTGCCCTTATGTCGCCTCCTCAGAGATCCTGGCCCGCTGATCCTTTCCAAATTAGCTTCTCCTCGGGGCTTTCGGAACCTTACTTTTCTTTGTTTTTCTTCCTGACTTATTATCAAACATCACATGCTGCCTGCATTTATTGATGTGTAATCTGCCTGCCCCGTGAGGATGCAAGCGCCCTGCAGGGGTGTCCTCAGAACCTGGAACAGTGACCGGGATATTCTGAGTGTCCTCTGAATATTGGATGAATAAGTAAGTGCCAAATTTTGGCTCTCTTCCTATCTGCAATGGAGATACATTCAGGTTTTGACTTTTCTCTTTTTCTTTCTTTTTTTTTTTTTTTTTAAGGTAAAGGAGAGAGCTGTTCTCAGATATCAGGCATCCTTCCTGTGCTGGGGAAAATTCCTCCCTGTGCCCTTCTGTAGCAGCAAGGGCCAGGCATTCCTT